TTTAGGCGTTCTATTTGACCATAGGTTACGTTTTAACTTGCATATTGAGCTCTCGATTAGCAAAGTTAGGTCCGCGCGTGGTTTTATAAAAAGGTGGTCCAAAGAGCTTGATGATCCCTACAGTACGAAAAGGCTGTACATGTGTTTGGTTAGACCCATACTCGAGTATGCCTCAGTTGTGTGGTCTCCTTCATATAGGTGCTACGTAGATTCAATTGAATCTATTCAAAAGCAATTCTTGCTGTTTGCCCTTAGAAATTTGGGTTGGGATCCGATTGCCTCTCTTCCTCCGCATGAAAATAGGTTGCTTCTGCTGTCCCTACCGTCTCTTGAGAAACGTAGATTTGTTCTTGGCGTTTCCTTTCTAATTAAAGTAATAAATGGTGCTATTGACTCGCCTTCATTACTTGGTGATATAAGCTTTAATGTCCCTAACCGCTTCTCCAGGCACTTTATCTTGGTTAAGCTTAGTCAGTGTAAATTTAATTATGAGCTGTTCAATCCGCTCAGAGTCGTTTGCAAGAACCTAAATGACGTCTACCATTTTTCTCGTTATCGGACTCTTTAAAGTCCATTACAGCAACATTGCTTAATACGCGCGATTTACCTATATTGTACTTAAGCTGGCTTTTAACCTTAAAAGTCGTTACGATTGGAAAATGAATTGTTGTTAAGTATTATCGGTTGCCAGGCTTATGCATGTTTGCGATCGCTTAGGGGTTCATTTGCAGTTTGGTCCTGTACCGGTTGTGGGTGTGGTTCTATACTAGTTGTGTACATTCAGTTTTAATATTAATATATTTTTTATATTAATTAATTCAAGATTTACTTTAAGAGTCAATTGAACTCGATTGTCAACTTGTTTCAGTTAAGTTTCTTCTTCTTCTAGAATAAATAAATATATAAATAAAAGCTATCGGAAGCCCTTCAATTTCAGCGTGAACATCATTAATGAACTAAGGAATAGCATTGCCCATTTAAAACTATATTAGAAAATATATTAGAAAGATATTTGATAACAAAATTGACAGTACTACCTAGTCTTTTGTTTCCATTAATTTTATTCCACCCCTGCGTGCAGTTAACGTCCAGAAGATCAAGATAAAATCATTTGCGAGACTTCGTCATACTATTACACACCAATCCATTCCTTCAATTTGCAATTGTGGGCGAAGTATAGTTTGTGGATGTCAAAACATTTCCAAATTTTGCAAATTCGTATTCGCACCTTTAAACCTACGAACAGTAAGTATCCAGAGAATATAATATCGATAAAATTTATGAAATCGTCTAGGCTGGAATGCATCCGGTTGTAGTTTCGGAATTTTTTTTTTGGTGTAAGTAAATTATAATAATAATCATAACAATTTTCTTGATGGACTGAAGAGTCAAGTTTACATGCCTTCTCTGAGTCACTCTTATGTGACTGTTTATAAATGGTTAGGAAACTTTTTTTTAAACGTAAAAAATTCGGGGTTTTCTAAATACTGATTTTGATGTAAAACTGACTGTTACAAAATGCATTTTTCACTTTGCCATTCGTTTGACTAAAATTAATTTTAAAAAAAGCGCCGAACATCGAAGATAAATGCGGCGACTGACTATTTGAATATGCCAAAACATTGATTATAGTATTTTATATCATAATCGAAACTAAAGGGCTGTGCAACATTTCGCAAAAAGGTGCTCGAATTATCGAATGGCAGTTTTCATGGTGACACGAAAACAGAAGCTGTTCAAGAAAGACAGAACTGAACTCAACTTTCTTTACTTAAAAATCAATGTAAAAATTAAGGCATTAATTAAAGTTGCACCATATACAGTCTGTTCGCTTAAATAAAGCAGTTCACACAATGCTTGCGGGCGTTACTAAAGCAGACCATATGAGTAGACGCTAGTTACGTAAACGTTGATGAGGTGCAAAATTAATAAGGCGAAAAGTTTCTTCGAAATATGATTTTCAATTTATTAATTTTATTTTAACTTTTAATTTTACTTAATTTTTTGTTCTTTCTGATGCTTTTTCACAGCTTATAAAACCAAATGACTTTGTTTTCTTCTTATAAATACATCAGTGTATGCAGTGTATTATGTTTGTCAAAAACTAATAGAAATTTTAAAATTTTGCAAAAAGCTTGTATTGACGCACAATCGAGTTTATTTTGACTGTTCGTGAGAAAAGCTTTGCTGCTGTCGTCAAATACCTATAAAAATGACAAACCGAAGCTAAGTTCTACTTCTAATGTTCCAAACGCGCGGCAGCTTACTTAAATCTTCCAAAGAAAGAAATTATATTTCATGGTTACTGCTGTTACTTAATTTTAAAAAGCTAATTTGCATTCCATTAAACTCATTTTTTGTAAGATTGTTTTTAGATATTATGAGCAATTGCTTGCGCTTACATTCTATATTTAATTAACATATATGGAGAGAGTTTTATAGTGCAAAAGTTAAAATAAGTCAGTTTTATTGGAAAAATTTTAGATAACATATTGCTAATACAACATTAGAACATTTTGTATAAATTATCATACATTTTATGGCATTAATAAGTTTTTTAGCGTGTAATCAGATTTGTGATATTTTTAATGTTCACCCTACAGACTAAGAAAAATAAAAAAAAAACATGATCAACGTCTAAGCCCAATTGATAATAGAATTTTGTCTTTTTTTACATAAGGATTTGTGAAGTGTCGCGACCTGGCAGCACTGCATGTAAACAACAAATGGGTAAGCCAATTGGAATTTTTTGCAATACAATTCATTTATTGAAAAATTCAAGGCTTTTCTAACGTATAATTTACGTTCCTAATTAGTGTTTAAGGTCTCGACTAAAAAAATTAAGAAAATATTGTGTTTCAAATAATGCCTGTGCGAAAATACAGACGCGAAACTACTGAAATTAATTGCTGCTTAAAATATATATTATTCTCCAGCAATGTAGTGATATGGGTGAAAAAACACACAATTGACATTGGTGCCCAATCAAAGTCTTCATTTGAAATTGTATTTTTAATTTTAGATGACTGGCTTGGTTGTACTGGCTATTGGAATATGGGCTTGGAATGAAAAAGATATGTTTAGTAATATTACCAAATTAACGTTTATAGCATTAGATCCAGCCTTTGTGCTGATTTGCATAGGGGGAATAACATTTACCATTGGGTTTACAGGGAGCGTGGGCGCACTGCGAGAAAATACTTGCTTATTGGGCACGGTGAGTTGTTCTAATCCGCAAAGACGTATTATTTTAATGCCATCTTTTTGAATTGCAAATTAGTACGCAACTTTCTTAGCAATCTTGTTGTTGTTTGAAATGGGGTTCGGTGTTTTGGCTTTCGTGCTCAAGGATAAAGGCTGGGTACATATGTACGCAACCTCTCATTAATTCCAATTAATCCACTTTTAAATGTTTTAGATCAAGGATCAAGCAACCGAAGGTTTAAGAGCTTTTATCATACATTATCGAGAAGATCCCGATCAACAAAACCTAATTGACTGGATACAAGAAGATTGGTTGCAGTGTTGCGGCATTGAAGGACCAAAGGATTGGGACAGCAACAACTATTTCAACTGTTCTTCCGGTGCGATTGGGAGCCGTGAAGCCTGTGGGGTTCCATTTTCGTGCTGTCGCCGTCGTCCTCAGGAACTGATAAAGAATAAACAATGTGGTTATGATGTGCGCAAAGAAGGCTACGTAAGTAATCGACATGCGTTTTATTATTACAATTGGAAGGTGGGATAGTAGTATATGTAATATATGAAAGTTAAAATGCTCCGATTGCAAGTGTCATATATTTTAAACATTTCTAGTATTCTTAAACTTTCGTTCAGTGTTTTTTTTTTGATATGTGTGCTAGTAAAAAAAAATGTGTTTATCTAAATTTTTAGCCTGTGGATCGCCATATATACGAGCGTGGTTGTTTACGGGCTGGAGAAGACTGGCTAGAGTCACATTTAATTGGTGTTTCGGCTACTTGTATATTTACCTTAATTATGCAGGTTATGGTCTCTAAATTTAATAAAAGCTTTAAATTGACAATTATCTGGACTATTGCCAAATTATTATTTTAGAGTATTTTAGTTTAAAGCTTTTATCAAATTCCTTTAAGCTTAACTTTAAATCCATCTTTTAATTCTATTTTCTTTGGTTTATTATAATTTTTACTCCCATTAACGAGTAATGAAAAAATATTTAATAAGTCTTTTTCCCGTCCGTCGCAAAAAAGTTGGAAATTCTCCAGCCACAAATATTGTAATAGGAGTCTAAATGTGACTTTTATTTTTTATTTAAGTTCGAAATATGTTCAATTAGTGGTGAGTCGCCCGTAAACAGTATATGAAAATAATGCAATAACAAAAAAATTGCGAAATGTTCTCACATGTGATCAGTACAACGTAATATAAACTTTAGTATTAAAGACAAGTTTACCATGGATACTTTTCACATTGGCGGGAAAATGACTACCAGCTCAACTAACAAAAACGCTGCCATATTTATATGCTTGTTTAAGGTGGTGGGTATTCGAGGCTTCCTATAAAAAGCGAATTTAACTTTAATTTTTTTTTTGTTTATCACTTCTATACATGATGACATTGAAGAATTATGAAGTTTCAAAAATAATTTACGAAAAAGGTTGTGTGCAAGCCGGCGAAGAGTGGGTGGAACGTAATTTAATTATAATATCTATTAGTGCCATCGTTACTGTTTTTTTTCAGGTTGGTTTTTGTTTTTATTCTTTTTCCCCCTTAAAAATGCTGCTTTTTAATCTTAATTACCGCTTCGCTTGTTCTTTTCAATTCTGACGTAAAATATATTTTTATTTCTTATCTGTTATAACTTTACAGATTCTAGGTATTTGCTTCGCCCAAAACTTACGCGCCGACATCTATGCACAGAAGTCAAAATGGCATTGACAAATGCCGGCTGCTACGCCCACTACCATTTAGGGACCTACCCGATGTACTTTATTTGAATATCGACTTTTATGGTATAATAACAATAACAATGATAACAATGATAATCACTGCAACGATATCAGGTCATAAATATGTATAAGAAATATTGCCAAGTTTTTCGCACTCTACTTTAAGAAACATATTTTATACTGCTAAACGAAACTACGAGCATATTTTTGTACTATTTCATTTAATTCATATCATTCCTTACACCATTAAAGGGTAAGTTGTTTATTACTAGGTCGGGTTTTCAAACTAACTTTTTGGCCCGATCTAATCAGATCAACGGCTTGTGACTTTTATTGTCAATTGATTTAAGAGATTCAGACAACTACAAATTTAATGATTTAATCCTTTCTCACGTTCTTCTGCATCCTGAATGTTTCTCTATATAATTCCGTGCAAAAAACTCATATCTAATATTGAACAATATTTTTAACACACATAGATTATGGTATTGATAGACCAAGAAATTTTCATCAAAATTAATTAATTAGTCCTTAAAAGCTTTAGACTCTAAGTTCGCAAGTGGAAAAGATTGCAGAGCTTTGTGTAATTAGACAAGTTAAAGTACTCTCATCCGAAGTTAAACTGAATTTTTATAATTGAACAGTCGTAGGCAGCGTAGTCCGATTAAACTATAAATCCGTGTTAAAGCAAAGTGTTGAAACTTTAAAAATGTTATAGCAGTCGAACTATTTTATATTCTCGAAGGCTGACAATGCTCTCAAACTTCTTTTATTTTTATAAATAAGATTATATCGTTATATTATATATACATTACATTGCATTGCATTCCCTTGTGGTGTAGGGTACTAAATATTCGAATCTACTCGACTATAATTTCATTTGGCTTGAAATTTTTACTAACTTGGATGTTATATTATTTAGAAAATGGCCTCAATGCATGCAAATATTATTTTCTTTAAGATTTTAAATTGTCTTAGCAAATTGTTATCTTGTAATGCAGCTGTGATAGAAACAAAAGAATGCATTCTTTCTCTTTTTAAGTCAAAAGAAAAATATCTTGACAAGAAATCCTTTATGAGGAAAAAGTCATCGACATTTACAACACAAATTGGAATTAATTAGTTATTCACCAGCAACTAAACTTAAAACTATTTCTATTATGAATAATAATAATAACGATAATGTTTTAAATAATGTGAGGAGCGAAGCACTGCCATAAACAGAAACTTCCTAAAGGTTGAATACATACGTAAGTAGAAATGAAGAAAACACCAATTAACTAAGTTTACTCCTTCGACAGCAAATTATGAATACTCACCATTAGAGCTATGTTCGTTTTTTGCTGTACCTGGTGCATTTAATTGTGTATTGTGTAAAATAGAAGACTTTTCGATTCTTAAAGTTTGACGGATGAGTCGATTTGGAACTTCTGGGAGTACCGGTGTATACTTATGTGTGTTGCCAAAAGAAGGCGGAAACTTAATTTTGTCCCGACCGAATTTAATTTTCTCACTTCTTTTTGTTCGTATTAAAACATTTTCATTGCGTACATTGCGTTAATACAAAAAATAAGATTAAGCAAACTTTACAATTGAAATTTTTGATGGTTGATTTTATAATAGAAATCGTAATAAAAGGGCTTCTGTGCCTGAACACTTTTTTAATGGTAACCAGCATTTTGTAAGCATCGCGTATTAAATCTGCACCCAAGAACTTAGCACACACATTTTGTTATTTCTAAAATATTTCATATACGAAATTCTTATAAATAGTTCCAATTCAATTTTTATGGATATACTTCAATCGCCAATTTCGAAATTTCAATGGGTTACTTCTTTTGAGAAAACATTTAGTAAAATGAGAATTAGTACACAGGGTTTCAATGTGTATTTTTGAAATCAATCGTAACAACTAATTTATGGAAAGTACCAATTCGTGCGACTGTTGTTATCTCGCACTTCATTTAACATATCCCTTAAAAAATCATTAAAAGTAAATAAAAGTTACAATTAACTATTTATTTGTAACATCAATGATTTCACAAGAATTCCAAAGGCAAATGTTTATATAGTTTTGTCACTTATATATGAAATATGTCAAATCATTTGCATCTCATTGGCTCTTCAGAGGCTCATTTAGAACTAAAAATGGATACATGTGAAAAGAGTTTTACTTTCGTAATTCTAATACATTTTAAGAGAGTCGTGCAATTTTTTTATAGAGAGGTCAATTTGTTTTTATAAAGGTTTTAACCATCTAATTGTGGTTTTGAGTCTAAACTAATTTCTTTTTGACTGAGTTGATACTCTATTAATATTAAATTGTTGCTACCGATTTTTAAAATTTCACCAGGAACATAAAGTGTAATCTGCGGTCCCACTAACGGCCAATAACGCCCCAAATTGAAACCATTTACGTAGGCGACGCCTTTGCCCCATCCTCTGACGTTTAAGTATGTATCAGCGATGTCGTCGACAATGAACTCGCCGTAATATGCTATAGGTCCATGATCGAGTGAGCCAGTTCCATGGCTGTTTCGTTGTTTACTTTCAACATATTTCACTAAGTGTTTTATTTGCGTTTCTTCCAGTGGGAATTGAGTATGTGTCCAATTTTCTAATACCTGGAGCTGGCCATTATGTTTTTGTATGGTTACATTTCCTAAAATGCCTTTCATATCATCGGCCACATAGTAGTTAATGCGACCTTGATTTTCAACCAATATTTGAAGTTTTTTACGCTTGTTCTTATTAATAGGCACTGTGTAGATGTTGTTTTCTCGAGAAAGAGTAGTCAGAAAAGTCTGGTCTACATATACGTAAGCTCGGTCTCTTAGCTGATCCACTTTTAACAGAGTTGGGTCAATTTCGAGTTCAGGTAAATCAGCTTCATACAAAACTAGCAAGCGGAAAGCAAGTTGATTATGGGTTTCATTTGCACATTACCAAAAGCTTTAGCTTTGCTAGGTAATACTTCTGTATTTGGTACATTCATAAACTCACTAATGACATCACGCACAAGTACAAACTTTTTGGTAGCGCCTCCAGCTTCGTCCATTATCGCATCATAATCATAAGAAGTAATATCGGCCGCGTATTTTCCAAAACCCCAGTCATTTGCACCAGCTGTGAAACCAAAATTTGTGCCGCCAAAATACATATAGAGATTAACACTGGCATTATACGTCAAAATTGTTCTGAAATTTTAGAAGTATATAGGATTGTTCTCTTGATAAAATTTAAGTCGCAACGAAATAATCTGAAGGGTTATTGATTTACTTATGAGTAATGATAAAGTAATTTAAGAACGTATTATTCCACTCGCTTTACCTTAAGGCTTTTGCTACCGCATTTGCGTCACGTCTTTGATTTGTTTCCTGCCAATGTGTTAGCCAACCCGGATAAAATTCGGAATTCACTAAAGGTCCATTAGGCTGTACCGATCTCAATGTATTCCAAATATCTTCAATTTCTTTGACTAGAGGTAAAAATGTGAATTAGATAATGCTTTTTTATATAGATCATTTAAGTTTTACCTCGATCTATACCAAAATCAGTTGTAGCGAACACTCCATCGATTTTGCCGCATTTAATGTTTAAATCTGGTATATCAGTAGTGAATAATAGAGCTTGATCTCTCACGTACTTATGTGTTTCATCACGTAACCAAAGTAAATAATCACGATCACATACGTGAAATCCTCCGTATTCGTTTTCGATTTGAACCATTATAATTGGACCTCCATTGCCATAAAAATATCTTTGTAAGCGAGGCATTAATTTGCTGTACCAAACGGATACCTCATAAAGGTAATTTGAATCACTGGTACGTAAATGTATATTAGGATACTTGGTGAACAGCCAATACGGGATACCTCCCTAGGAAAATTAATTGTTTATGTACCCATTTAGAAAGTAAAATCCATAAGCAATGCATCACCAACATTATCTCTTTCAGCACATATATAAGGACCAGGTCGTAATATGATGTAGAAACCCTCCTGTTCGGCTAAATGTATAAATGTTTCAATATCTGCTATGCCCGACCATTCGTATATACCATCCTGAGGATTGTGCAAAGACCATTCAATGTAACTGCGAAGGTAATTATAAGTCATTTCGAACAAATTTTTAAGCCAAATAAGGACTACTTACGTGTCAATGGCATTTAAACCGCTTGCTCGCATAGTTCTTAGACGTTTTTGCCAAACTTCGGGCAAAGCTCTAAAATAATGAAACGAACCCGAAACGTAACGAAATGGTTCTCCATTCATAAGAAAGGTGTTCGTCACGTTATCAATAGTAAAACGCCGGTGAGATAATGCCTAATTAAGTTGGTTATTTAATACAAAGTTATGGTATAACTTCTCAGTTTTCTTGAATCCGAAATAAAATAAATAAATAGAATAACATTTTTAAGATATATATATGTAAACCCGCTTTGAACCGCTACTAAAGACGAACACAATGGCAAACATATACATATTTCTTCAATCAACATATCCTCCAAAATTAGAGATTCTTATTAGATTAGTCTCATAATACAATCCCATATTTTTATACTCATCACCGAAGTACGAGGGGTATATTCATTTTGCCAGGAGAAAGCTTCAGAGACCACACAAAGTACTCCTAATCAGCATCAAATGCTACATTAATTTGATCATGTCCCTGTCTATCCATCTTTGTAATGTCTGCTGTAAATATTCTCCTGGTCGAAAATATTAAGCTATCGACCTCAAATTTGACAGAAACATTGAAGGTTTTTGCGAGCTGGTTGGTATTGAAAATGGGTCAAATCGGTCAAAGCATATGCTCACTGCACCACGTAAGTTGAGAGACCTCTGTTTCTTAAAAGGATATAAAAAAATTGGTTTTTTGCTCACTGCTCATAAACTATAGCAGATAAATGCACAAAAATTGAATTTTATATTCTGTTGGCGATGCAATAGCACATGTATAAAAACGGGAAAAATTAACCACGCCTACCCGTTGTATAGTTCATTCTCCTCGGTGATAGATAATAAAAAAATGAAGAAAACGTAAAAAGAATAAAATTTATGTAAAGTTAATATGCGAATAAGAAGAAAAACTGAAAAATGAGTAAACATATCTAGTACAGAGGCACACCCACAGTTGGTACAGCTAGGAGTTTGGAATGGACTAAGACTTTGCAAACTTGCAATACGTTGACAGCGGACAATAGTGAATAAATTCAATTCAATTTTCCAATCATACAAAGATTTCATGATTAGAAGTTAACTTAGATACCACATGGGCAAAGCACGCATTTTACGGAGAGATTTAATGATCTCTCGTAATTAAGCTCGTAATTAAATCTACATTGACTAGGTTTTATGAAAATAAAGTTTATAAAGGAACGTGTAGGGACTTTGAGATTAATTTCATTATTTATTTTTGGCTAATCAATAGTACCGTTTATTAACTCAACTAAGAAGGAAACTCTAAGAGGAAACCTACGTTTCTCAAGTCACGGTAAAGCCAACAATACCAATCTATTTTCATAAGGAAGCATAGAGACAAACGAGTTTCAACCCAAACTTCTGAGAGCAACGAGCAGGAATTTTTCGATCTGCATAGCACTTTTAAGAAGGAGACCCCACTACAGAGGCAAGTATTGGTCCCATTAAGCTTATGTATAGCATTTTTTCCAACCTAGAAGACAATGTTTTATAAAATTTAGTGTTATGTTCTCTGCGAACCCGCATGAATTGCAAATACTTAAGATCTTATTAGTCTTTAAAGTAATTTTTGAAACTTTCAAGCATAGGTACCCGTCCTCTGATTTGGAAAAGTTCGCAATGCGTTCAGTGCGTGCATAAAAACCCTATGAAAAAAGATTCAGTAACTTACCTGTACAACTCGCATGTACAACGAGCACTTTTATATGACTACGTGGGCTTAATATTTTGATATGTGAAAAAATTGAGCTTTTCGAAATGTGTAAAGACACATGAAAGTGACTGGAACAAATTTATTTTATTTCCCGACTTTGTATTCATTTGAATAAAAAGTTATTTTATTTGTTTATACGCTTCCTAGTCTATTACAATCCGCGTTTTACATTCATCACGTGATGACGTCCAGCATTTGAAACTAAATAGTGGGGTACTTTGTAGCTAAAGGCCATCATTTTGAATATGCAGGAAGTTTGCGTCATTGGGCGTAAAGAAGTGCCTGAAATATCGACTGGAATTGTTCATGCTGACAGGAAAACAGAATAAAGAGAATAAAGTGTCGGTGCAAATGGCACTACCAAGTCAAAACTATTAATCATACACTCTACATCGCTGTCGTTTTGAACTTAGTAAATAATAAATATAAAACGTTTTGAGAGAGATGTTTAAGGAAATAAAACGCTTTCTTGTTACCTAGAAATGTCACTACGTAATTTTCATTGCTAGATATTAGTAGGTCAACATCAATTGTCGTCTGTCCAGTCTGTTATTTTTTTGAGTGTTTGATGACAAGAAGTACACACATGTACAATGGTTTAATTTCAAATAGGCTATTTTATTGATTTAGAATGAAAAAAAATCTGTGCACTGCATTAACGATCACGACTCTTGCACTGCTTATGTCGAGTATATTGGGCTCGAATAAAAGAATTGCATTCGCGCTATAACGCCGCGAATCAACTGTAATTTTTTTTCTTGCAGCAGCATGTAAGAGGATAGTTTAAAAAATAAACTTTTTTGAATGAATCGAAGAATTTGTCTGCAATAAAATATAAACTGAAAACAACTCTGCTTCCAGAAACAAAATAAATTAGGTTTCTGCTCCTTAATTGTAAACTTCAACAGCGGCGATACAGCGATGATGATTAGCCCGTATGTTATAAGGCCATCCCATAGTACCTGTGCAAAATGGGAAGGGTGGCCACCCTTACTCTATTTTGTAGGGTATCGAGATTCCATTCTTTTATTAAACATTTCCAATTTTATAATTTGAATTTCGTTAAAATTAATTTAGTTTTTCAACAAGGCATATAAATTTAAATTTTGTAAAAAGAGACTAGGCAACGCTTGGTTTTTCGCCACAATTAGTAAACTTGACGCCATACATAATTTATCCTGCTTACGTCGTGGCTGAAAATAATTGGCCAGCTGAAAGATTAAAACTCTGAAAAAATTTTGGGTAATTAGGGGCAATTGTAGATAATGGAGCAATCTGCAATTATGGATAAAATTTCCAAAGAAGATGGGAAGTGCTACTGAAAGCTTTAGCTGCACTTGGTGCCAATCCTATCGAATTGAAAGAGCCAGTCTGCATTTGGTGGTAATATTTAATAAATGTACATCAAAAGTGAAAAATTATTCATTAGTCGTTGGCAACCGATTTAAGAAGAGCTCATTGGTACATTGAACTTTTTCACCTAGACAACGCTATTGAAAATGATTTGGAGCATTCCCCACATAACGTCCTATTTTGGAAAGTTGTGATATGGAAAAAATTGCAACTTTCAAAATTTCTTGAAGGGTGTGAAGTTATATTTAAATATAACTAACAAAGACACAAACTTAAATTTTCTACAGAGCTCTGTAAAGCCGTTAACGGAATTCCGTTAAACGAAGCCTCGGAGGGATTTAACTCAAAATACAAGTAAAATAGAACTTTTCGAGAATTTTTTTGCAAATTCTTATAAACAAAACATGACTTTATATAAATTAACTAATATTCGAAACCAAAACTTTTTTACACTATGCCATAAATGAGGTTGATAAAGCGAAAGTTTACGGAGCTACTGTGTCCCTTGAAAACATCAAACTAGCACAGAATGAATCCTCTATTAATGGCCTTTCCCACGGTGTGCAGGTTATATTAAGTTTTGCCCAAAGTTTTTTTTTATGGGACTTTGAAAATTTCCATACTTAACATAATGCGGGCTATTATAAAAGTAAAATAGAAGTATCATGAGAGTAAAACAAAAATATCATGAAAGTAATTTCTGAGCATCTTTTTATGGGAGTTTGAAAATTGCTTTTTATAACATAGGTAGCTTGAGAACCAATGTTCATCCACCATCAAAGTCGAGAATTTCGAAATGGTTCTCTCTCATTGCTCAGTGCATTGTACTCTTGCGTTGATTTGTGCGTAAACGAATGTAAACAGGGATTTATTGCTTTTGCAAATATTAAATAGTTTTTTTTTTTTCTATGCATGATGATCTAGTATTTTTTTTAAGAAATTGAGTGAGAGAGGTCGAAATAGAAAATGCGTAAATAAGGAAGTTTTTGATGCGTCTAAAACAGAAAAATCAGATATGGATTTTTATTTACAATTTTTATCGATTATGAGATACACATGGTTTTGTATATAAATTAGATTTGTTTTCGGATTTGCGTTAAAAATTGAAATTAGGAAATTACATGATTTACAGCGTTTTCTACTAATTTATATACAATATTATAAGCACTGTCAATGAAATTTATAATCATAAACCAAACGGGTGTAAACACAAAACGCTGCCGACGTTATAACATTCTTAGAGAAATATTACCTACATTAATAACGTGGTCTGTTGGCGGCGGTCGAAGTGAGCGGCGGTCAGGCTGACAAACATTACAGAGACGAACAAATGTCCGTTCGTTTGATTTTGCTTGCTATTATAATACATATATTTTAGGAACAGTAGCCACAAACAATAAACAGCAGTATGTTATTATATACGTTTTTTTCTCTTCGCCTTTTTTTTTTACGGCATGGTTTGGCCACAGTGGTCTTTTAAAATTTGCTTATATGTTAGCCTATGGAAATTTTCAAAGTCCCATAAAAAAAAAATTTGGGCAAAACTTAATATAACCTGCACACCGTTGGAAAGGCCATTAATAGAGGATTCATTCTGTGCTAGTTTGATTTTTTCAAGGGATACAGTAGCTCCGTAAACTTTCGCTTTATCAACCTCATTTATGGCATAGTGTAAAAAAGTTTTGGTTTCGAATATTAGTTAATTTATATAAAGTCATGTTTTGTTTATAAGAATTTGCAAAAAAATTCTCGAAAAGTTCTATATTACTTGTATTTTGAGTTAAATCCCTCCGAGGCTTCGTTTAACGGAATTCCGTTAAAGACTTTACAGAGCTCTGTAGAAAATTTTAGTTTGTGTCTTTGCTAGTTATATTTAAATATAACTTCACACCCTTAATTTCTTGACAAAAAAGGCTAAGTATTTGCTTGATTGATCTGAAACTTTTGGACTGGCTGGTGTAATTTCTTGAGGCCCCTGTCACATCACGGAAATTGAAGGTCATATAACAGAAGTGCCTAATTTTCAATGCCTCGTGATAGAAATCTGATTGCAATTGTCATTGCAGGCAAAGAAAATTAACTGCACCAAATTTGGACCACTGTACCTTTTTGTTGTAGTAGTAGCAGTAGAATTCTGAATTTTTAGCCCAATTTTTGGGCACATTCTTAGGGAAAGTAAGCCTTTATTTACAAAGCGATTTATTATTTAATATTTAGTTCCGTAATAACCAGCTATATAAAAACAGTGTATAATTTCTGCATTCTATGGCAAAAATAAGAATTGCGTTAAACAATGCGGTGTAGGGTTTTCAATAGTCGGCCTAGCCTGAATGTAATGTTTTCATTTGTTTCAAAAATAGTTTTGACAGAAAGTTAGCAGCGAAAAACAAACTATTTATTATTTAAAATCGGAAAAGCGCTCTTCTATCGAATTCACAACGAAAGAGCAAGTCCTCAAGATAACAGGAGTATCGCCATCTAAAGTCTTTTCATGCTTATAAGGCCTTGATATTTTGAATTGAACATATTTCAATCAATGAGCGGACATAAATAATTGCTTTCAATGTGATTCAGCTTAAAACGTCAGTCTTATAAGCGTGAAAAAAATGTATCTGCTTAGTCTTAAGAAATATTTTATTCTTATACAGAGTCGGAAATACTTTAGCGATAATGTCGTAAAGCTTATCTCATTTATTGTTATTGTGACAAGAAAATCAAATTTTTGAGAAAATTGAAATACTAAAAGCAGTATTTTTTTGAAAAGATTATAATAATACAATTGCAATGTACAAAAATGTTTACATTTTTATAAAGGTAATAAATAAACCGTTTAGGTTTCAGGAGCGGGTGAAATAGCATATTCGTTTGCGTTTTCATTTAAACACCGCTGAAATTCTAATGCGTATAATTGGGTGCTACAAAAAGAATGGCCAAGTTAGTATATTCTGATCAAAGTCATCGTCTATGGCTCTTTCCTATTAAGTATTTACGTTGCTCAAACATAAAAACGTCATTACGCACCAAGTTTCCCAAATTGCAGACTAATAGTCGTAACGGTTAAGCCAAACATTTTGTAATTATTTACTCACTACGATTTGTTATAAAATTTCTTCATCCAATTAGTTTACCCTGCAGATTATGCAAGTACTTATACACACTTTTTTTTTTTAATTTTGACTTCATTTGAATGAATTCACCTGCTTTTGGTTTTGAACTTTAATCACTTACTTCAGCTATGCTTAAATTAATAAGCAAGATTGTAACTACAATCGTTGTAAACCCCGCCATAACAGTAGTTAACGCAACTGAGATGTGAAAATTGCGGCTCAACGTATTTATATAAATCGTATTTACGATAAGACGTGAAGAAATATGGATTGAATATTTTGCCTTTATTCTCTTTACAACTATACTGAATGCAAACGTTTACTTATCGCTTGAATATCCCGAAGTCAATTAAATAGTTATCTCTTGTAAAGGAGCTTAAAGCTACATATTTTATATTTATTGTTGTCTTTGTTGTATTAATACTATTTACACCATTAACAGCAATAAAAAGCAGTAAATTTATATTTATTTATATTGTGCAATACCTGCATATATATTTAAGTGGGTTATTAACATTTTGACTCGACGAATCGAATCAGAAAAGGAGATTAAATGGTTAAAGTGTTCATAGTTGGAGCGACAAGCCAGTCAGTTTGTTGGTATGTAGTGGCTCAACACTTGCTGCGAAATGCTAATATTGATTTCCCCTACTAAAGCAGACAACGAAGTTTCACCATTAATCGGTTTAACCACAAAGGCAACTCCAAGTACAAGTCTTGGTTTATAAAGAATTGGCAGATTAATCAATTTCAGGCGGTTAACATATGGTTTGCAACTGGGGTTCCTCTATAGCGCTCGCCAGGCAAGGATGAGAAACTGTCCTTGTGCAGAATCTGTCAAATCAATATTACATGCGCAGCTTGGAGCCCACTTTATTGACGCACGTTATAGAACTCGCCTATCCAAAACAATGAGCAGACCCTTCGCAATGTAAAGGTAACCAAATTCACGAGACCACCTTTTGATGGATCCCAGAGTACAGTTATATAAATGGACACCTTTTATAATCTGCCCATGCATTATAGTCCTTATAGGCGAACCTTTACCAGGAGACAATTCCTTGCAATTGTTTAGTTTAAGAGACATAGAATTTATTCTACTCAAACACACTAAGACTTCTAGATTTTGTGTTAGACAATCTGTTTCTGCATTAAATGAAAGACAGAGTTTCCCATTGCCAGCATACATTAAAGCACTAAAAAGACGAAAGGTCATTCATAAATGGAATGAAAAGTGTTGGACCAAGGTGGCTACCTTGCGGTATTCCGGACAAAACAGTGTTTTCGTTTGATAAAGTACTATTGCAAATGGCATTCTGTACACGGTCTTTCAGATAACAGGAAGATTAGTCAAGATTTTCGGAGAACCGTAAAAAGTAAGTCATAAAGCAAGTTTAAAGGTAAGTAAGTCATGATGTACCTTATCGAAAGCATTGCTGAAGCTAATATAATAACATCAGTTTGCTGACTGTTGGGTATACCTTTGAAAATATAATGTGATTGCTCCAATCGATTAGTTTTAAATTAGTAAAATGAAGCCAAGCTGACATGGGGAAATAATAGTACTAATTGACCGTATTCAAAATTCTGTTAGCAACTTTTCAAAAAACTTTGGTAACGTACTAAGTTATTTATTATTATTATTATTTTAAAGTACTAGCATCTAAGGCTTTCGGCTTTTATTAAAAATTCTACCGCACTTGAGATTTGAACCACGACCATTGAGTTGCTAGTCGTGACTTTTGCCTACTCGGCCACTCAGGCGGATAGTACTAAGCTGGACCTGGCTTTAGTCCTATAGTTTCTTATGTCATTTTTACTACCATTCTTCAAAATGGTTATACTGAGGCTGTTGTGCCACAATGTATTCATAGCAATTTTTAAGGACGCGGGAGGGTACGCCATCTGAATTGGATGAGTAAAAGTTAAAGCTATGTTAGAGAAAATATTATAGAAGGGAATACAATAGTTCTACATTGATCGGTCAAAGATGTTTCCAGCATAAGATTGCTCAAAAAATTCTGCAAACACATTAGGTAGCGTTATAGGGAACGTTGACTACTCCCCGCTTATACGTAGGATGCCTCTTAATTTTCCTCTGAGCATCCATGAACGCCTAAAACCTACTCCGTTTCCTCTTAAAGTAAACTCTAATTCTTTCTAAATAAAACCGAGCACTTATTTCTTTCAACGTTATAGGCTGAGAATAAGTTGACGAAATATGTAGCATAAATTTTTAAATTTTTAGGATTCATTATCTATTTTAATTGTTTACTAAACCAAACCGCACAATCGATATTGATTTTCACTATAACGCGAGGCACGAACAATGATATCGCATCACTGAGCGTAACGTAAAGTCCTGTAATAATTCTATCCAACGTTTCATATTCGCGAGATAGTTTGACATAGCGACGAAATTTGTTTTTGCAAAAAGGAATTTTTTAGAGTTATACCTTTCAAACAAAGCGTTAGACAAACAGAAATTCCCGAGTACAAGCATGTTATCTCTAGCTTTAAGAAGTCAAAATATTTCTCGTCGAACCATAAGATGCTATGTATAGTGTAAACAAAGAATTGTTATATATTAGATTATCTTTCAATAATGGCACTATAAAATGTGCAACTATTTAATTTATAACCTTAAATTATCTGTACAAAATTTTTTTTTTTTTTTTGTTTGTTTAGAGATGGATTGGACCAGTTAAGTTAATGTTAGATCCATAATCCAGAAACGAAGTTGAGAGCGATTGATGAAAAAATTTAAGCATAGGTAGACTGATGTGGCAGAGTGTTCGCAATGAGAGGCTCTGTTCCGCTGTCATTCCATAAATCACCGTACTTGGTACTGTACTGTCAAGATCCGGCTAATAATGCCGGTAAAAGAAAAAGTGTAGGCGATTCGTGATTGTAAATGTAAAATTAGAATGAAAACTCAGCTGATTTGATAAAGGCGGTCAGTTGCTTCAAATGCCTAAAGTTACCCGCACGAAAAATTTCATATAGATTGTTATACAGGTTAAATATACTGAAAGATTGTCTAAGGATGTCAAACCTCCTGCACTCAAAAATAAGGTGCTCGGCAGACTCAGTAATATTGCAATCCTCACAGATGTCAGAGGAGGAGACTTTGATCATTTTAAAATAGACCTTGTCGTAGGTGTGATTACTCATAAGACGGTGAAGAACTTTAAATTCCCATGTTGTGAATTTTCCTTTAGGTAGAAGCGTGGGTGTCAAAAAAGGGTAAATTTTGTAGAACAGCCGGTCACTTTTTTCTCTAGCTAACACATGATACTCATCTTTCCATTCTTTTATGATGAGTTTTTTAACTAGCAGAAAAGCTTCGCTGGGGGGGTAGTTTATGGACAAAACTGTACCATCGAACCTAGCTTGACGAGCATGGAAGTCAGCTTTTTCATTGATACTAAAACCGCAGTGACCTGGAATCCAGATGATGTGGCATTTTTCAATACTTGGGTCTTTTAAAAGGTTGTAGATATCGAAGACATACTTATTGAATGGGTCTTTGTTCTTGATTAAAATTAGAGCAGATTTGCTGTCAGAGAAAACTACAAATTTTTTCAGCTTAATTTCAGATGCGTGGATGATTGCTTGTCTGACGGCCAGAAGTTCAATGAAAGTGGATGATAGGTCTTGTAGAACTTTGAATTTTCCTATATGTAAGTTTGGGTATTCAATAATTGAAAAACTAGAGATGTCCGAATTGATAGATCCATCCGTTGCGTATATTTTGAAGTTATTTTCGACGAAGTGGTTAAGTTTTTGCAGACAAGCGATTCGAAGACAAGACCCTGATCGATTTTTTTTTGAGTTGGTGATTGAATTAAGTAAGTTTAATTCAACTACGCATTTATCATGAATAATATTATTCCAGGAGGGTATTGAGTTAACTTTATTGAAGATGTTACTGAATTTTTTGAAGCAGTTAGGGTAACTACTGATGACATGATTGTGTCTGGAAGCGACCTCGTCAAAGAAGGCAGGTTTGAAGATTTTTACCTTGAGAAGTTCTTTTGCAGTTACAAGATAAATTCTCTTAGCAACGGGGAGTTCATAAGAGATGGAACGTAAAATTGATGTTGGTGTTGAGGGGGACAAACCGGTACAACGTCTTAGGGTTGAGTTGTACAAAATTTCAACGATAATAAATTTACCAAATAAAGCATAAATATCAGTTCTTAGAAACAGAGGAGGTTTAGTAACATATTTTGAGTAATTGTTTGTTTTGACGCACGAAATACAGTTTGGTGCAACGCACTGTGAAGAGTTAGATATTACAGATGTATGCATCAACTGCAATGACCATTGCTAACCCTTCAACATATAATCACTGAATAGCATGGCAGTACTACTGATGGAGTGCTTAGCATTACCCGAATTACACGAGGTTTCTGGTAAAAGATCCTACAAACAATATCTTTTCAATGTTTTACAAAAGCCGAAAACGTTACACTCTAGTGCTTCCAAACTTTAGCCTTAAGATTTATTCTCTTTCTGAATTAATGACAATAGTAATAAATGTTTTATAACGATATAAAGATAATAACAAATTTTTTCATGTAAAATCTGTCACATTTATGATTGGCTAAAGCTTTATGATTTTGTCTAGCTCGGTTTCATGTATGAAATGTTTTTCCTTATAAACTATTCTTACTCACAGGACGTAACCTGAATATGCTGCCTGTAAGGCCCGTTGTCTGTACTGTTCGCTGTCTGTCAGTCCTTTCTTTCCCGGTCTCAGCGGTACCAAACTCGCACTTACACACTACGCGTATACATGGCAATTGTCTGTTATTCAACTATACTATACCTTACTTATATGTGTAGATGCCTCTGTCCCCCCCAATCTGCATTGACGTTCCTCTTCTCATCGATGAAATGTTAATAGCGCTCCACAGTCCGGACGAGATAGTAATGAAGGCGTGACGATAAAAATCGTTGGGTAAACGGCATACGGTAAAATTTACCTTCATGTTATACCGCTGGACTTTGAACTGTTTTTTCCCTTTTTTATAACTCTTCTCTTTTCTTTTAGTTGTGGAAAACTTTAGCTAAGGAGATGAGTTGTGAGAAGAAATAGATTAATGATGCCCGCTATTTCATAGGTCATTCCCTCATTTCCTCATTTTTTTAAGAACAAGGCGAACCCAGAGAGGAACGCCCTACGCTAATGTACGCAGACGTTACAAACTGAAA